TATTACTGTAAAAAAAAATCTTTTCGATTCATTGATTGCACTAACAGACTTTTAGATTCTAGAGCTAAAATACTATCACATTAATCTGAAATCAAATAGAAATCTAATAAAACTTTAATAAAGTTTATCCTTTTAAATGATAACTATCTTACCCGGATAATGGTTGTAATTCACACCAATATTACACTAATGCATATTCTCTATTGGCCAATATTCAATCACATTAGTCACTAAACATACAAGTTATTTCCTTATTGATAATTTATTCTCTTTATTATCAACTCTCTGAATTCACCTCACTCGATCAACGACCTGTCAATCAATTTAACGATAATCTATTGGGAAAGAATGTTTGTTTTGTTTATGTAGGCCTACTGTGTCAATAAATCCGTACTAGACATATTTTGTTGACTAAAACTGTATAATTCTGTCTATGTGAAAGACTCTTGGGTTCTTCCGAAGAACTACAAACGTTGATTCCCAAATGGGGAGGGCCATAAGTCCCAAAATTCCACGCCATATCCCCATATCATTGCTTGGATACACATGACTATAGACTTGCTGAAGCTATAAGTGAGCGAGTCGCGATTTTCAATAAATTAAATTTTAATGTTCGGTAATATCGTTAATAAAATCGAGTGATCATCAAATATTTCTCTTACTCAGGCAATTACTCTTCAAATAGCTAAAACAAAATAAAAACTCATTCGACATTAAGTCACATACTAAGTTTTATTTACATTGTAGAATCTTGCTGCCATTTATAGCCGTGATATCTACAGCTGCAATTGATACATTATTCGAGGCTTTGAGCAAGTAAACTTAGGTTCAACTGCAAAATTTTCAACACACATCATCACAATTTGCATTGAAATAAGTAGTTAAGTTACAAATAGTGAAGAATGGAACACTGAAATCATAATCTTATCTTACCAGTTTCTCTGTATTTTCGAGTGACATGACACACGTGATTCTGGTTTGGCAGCCATTTTAAAGTGAACAGAAATTTCGCATAGCAGTTGGGTTTAATCAATTCATATAATTATATGGTAAGGTTTCACCTTTATTTCAATGGGAATTGGTTTATTATATGTTAAGCTATGTGAAGTACAGTTTGGGGTCAGTGTAATTGGAAATTAAGGGAGTTATAGGCCAGTAACTTGCTCGACGGAAGGCCTTAGGGCGATCCACTACTGTGGCTGGAGCAAGACGGAAGACATCAGTAGTGGAACCATTTCTATGTAGAATCCGGTGAGGGCCATTTTGTAATGTATCATTGAAAAGTCTCCCAAAACTGTCAAAAAGAATGAAAGCATGGAGAGTATCTTAGTCATGCTTAGCTACGAGAACGTAACTAAAACGCTGAGATATACTAATGTGCTTTTTTTTTTTTTAGCTACGATTGGATGCCTTCGGTTCCAGGTGGCAAACTCAATTTCTTTATTAATGTATGTACCATCTTAAAAATTAGTTAATTTTATACTATTAGTACTTATTACACATACGCAGTCCAATCTACTGAAACAACATTCATTTATCAGCAAATATTGACAATAAAGTAAATCAAGCGTTGTTTTTTTCAAAATTGATTCGGACGTTCATAATTACGCCGTATTACTACTGCGCATCTCTGATCAGATGGGTACATTGATTGGCTATTGCACACGAGGCCCCGCCTTTATGTGTTAAAGACGTAAATTTAAAATGTCGGAAAAAGCAATCTACTGTCGCTTTGATTTAAAAAGAGGGGATTTGTACCCGTTTCAGGTAGAATTATATGCTTAATTGTAGTTGGGTGTGGCAGAAATATTATAAATAACAATAACCAATCGTTGTTTTGATTAAAAATATTTTCAATTTTGTTTACAAATGCCGGGTGCGAATCGCTCCCGCATGTGCTACACTGAAGGTAATAGCATCATCTCTTATCTCGAAACACGGAGGGTTGAGAGGTAAGGTTTGTTATCTAAGTCATGCTGTACACAGAGATCCATCTACTTCATATTTCGAGAATAGATCTCTGCACTAAATGGCCGCCATATCCAAAAATTAGTATTATTATGTTTTGTAATGCGGTCCTACTCTGTTTCACATCTGCCATACACACAAAGACTAAATAAACTTTTTCAGTTTTATTAAATGGATAAAGAATAAATACTTAACAAAATTCTCGTAGTATACTTAGCGTTTTCGATTAAAATCGTCGATTTAGGACATAAAATGTCGGTCAACTAGCTTAGTGTCTGTTCTCAAGCGGAGCTAACTGTAAACAGACCGCCCAAGTTTAGTATGTATCTTAGTTCAACAATGAAGACAAAAGACTGTACAATGAACAAGTTTCGTAATTAATAAAAATGTCAAAATTTAATGAAGACAAAATTCGAGAGGTGTCACCTGGGTGTACTGCAGTGCCATACAGCAAAGTTGCGTTGGAAGAGAGAGGAGGCCTGTCTGGTGGCACTTGAAAACAGTTTTTCTATCGGAACAGCAGGAGGATACAAGATGACCGACAAAATTTTATTTTTCCACGAACACACTGTCGGAAAGTATGCGTGATGCGTTTTGTATAGGTTCTGGATCCAAATGTTTTCAAGTTATATGTATAATGAGCAGTGTGCAGCACGATTTTGAATTCCTTGCAGTTAAGAATTGAACTATGGGTCGAAACCCAGATCATTAGTAGATGGTAATGACATATTTTACATTTCACGTGATCTTCAAAACTCAATCTGATTAATATTTCGTTTCATTTTTTTTTATACTTCGATGGCCTACACTACATAAAGATCTGACCCGTTCTACTGGGAGGTTGTGTCAGGGGTCATATGAGCGGCTTTTGAACCTATTACATGAGACATTGATTAATCAATCAGTGTTGACGTTTCTAGGGGTTTACCTACAGTTCCGCGCAGAGTACGCCAAGAACTCACCGTAACAGATCGTTTCATTGGCTAATTCGTCACTTCAACTAGAACGCCTGTTATATAACAACTCTTCCAGGTCCTATTGTTGTGAAGACAAGAAAACGAAATTCTGAACTATAAAAAACGAAACGAAATAGTATATGTGTTTTAATCTGCTGAAGACACTGAAATTGCTGTGTTTCCAATTTTTATAGATTGAATGTCACACTTCCGAAGTCAGTATTTTCGTCGTTGAGTTTCAACATTTTGAATGACATCCCATGTGTAATGATATCTAGAAAATTTTCCCTTTTCCAGATTCCTGATCACGACATCTTGATCAATCCGATTTGGCTTGTAACTGTCAATAAGCTGAGTGTCTTCAGCAGAAAATAGATACAGCTGATTATAATCTTAATCTTGAATAAGGTTACCCAAAGACTTGGGTATATACATGTATTGTGCAGATTATGGTACCCAAAACATAACTGACTGAACACCAATGTGGTATGTTAATTTACAATATATTGTGAGATGAGAATCAGACTAAATGAAATGTTCATCTAATTTTAATTAGATTGTGGAAAATATTAGATTATTATTTACTTTTAATGTACTAATTTACATTATTACTAATATATATTCAGAAAGTATTTTTAATTAAAACCTGCCAGAATTTCCAGCATTGCATCTAATAGCTCTTTCAATCTTTTTACTTTCAACTAGTTTGATGTTTCACTGGGGCTATCAAGACCTGTCTCAAACAAGCCAACAGTGAGGCTGATGTCCCCCGCCGAAATAGGAAAATAATTAGAGGACACATATAAATTTATCACAAATTATCTTTTACAAAGTATTGAACAATCAAACAGTATATCTTTACTTATAGTCTAACAATCAAAGTAGGAGAGTTATTGTTTTCCAAAGTCTCGACCAATCAAATTGCATATCGCTCTGCTTACCCTGAGCAGAAAATGCTCATTATCAAACTTAGTCAAGGTATTACTGTAATGAAACTATACACCAAGTTTCATCAATCTCACTTAATTAGAACTAAAGTTATCGTGTCCCAAAGCATCAACCAATCAAATTGCTTATCTCTGCTTACCCTAAGCGGAAAATGCTCATCTTCGAACTCCATCAAGGCATTGACCTAATCAACACATACACCAAGTTTGAACATTCTAGCTCAATTAGGAAGAGAGTTATCGTGCCCCAAAGTATCAACCAATCAAATTGCTTATCTCTGCTTACCCTAAGCGGAAAATGCTCATCTTCGAACTCCATCAAGGCATTGACCTAATAAACACATACACCAAGTTTGAACATTCTAGCTCAATTAAAAGTTATCGTGTCCCAAAGCATCAACCAATCAAATTGCTTATCTCTGCTTACCCTAAGCGGAAAATGCTCATCTTCGAACTCCGTCAAGGCATTGACCTAATCAACACATACACCAAGTTTGAACATTCTAGCCCAATTAGGAAGAGAGTTATCGTGTCCCAAAGCATCAACCAATCAAATTGCTTATCTCTGCTTACCCTAAGCGGAAAATGCTCATCTTCGAACTCCATCAAGGCATTGACCTAATAAACACATACACCAAGTTTGAACATTCTAGCTCAATTAGGAAGAGAGTTATTGTGTCCCAAAAAGTGTGACGGACAGACAGACGGACAGACAGACGGACGGACAGACGGACGAACCCATTTTAATAGTCCCCTGCTTTCTTCGAAAGGCGGGGGACAATAAACAGAGCTGCAGGTTCGGTTTATTGGCCTTCTCTAAGGTGTGAATAACATTAACAAAGAAAGACAAGGGGCTCAAATTCTGAAGGCTGAAAGGGTGGTAAAGAGAAGTCAAATTAAAATTTGTCATTGACAAGTTGATAAGGTAGCTGTTCCAGTACCATTAATTTATAGGGATCTTAAATAATCTTCAGTTACCCATATTACCATATAACTATCCCTAACAGCTAGTCAGTGGGATATACACTGTGTTACTGTAGATGAATGGAAAGTATACCAGAGGAATATTAATATGTTCACCATCTCTTGCCAACATTTTACCCCATTAAAATTACATTTAATAAACAAGAACTAAAGAGCATTTTTAATATAATCATAAATCATTTCCATTTAATTTGACATATCTGTGCTATATGATCAGATGGTGCCACTATGCTAGGTAGAGCTATATGGGTAGTAACATCTTCGTGTTCTGGCATGGGTATAACTTCAGTCACAGTTAAATTGTCTGAATCCACAAATATATAATCTAACATGCCATGAAAACCAGCCGTATAGTTTGTATATTTTGTGTAGCCACATCCACTTATTATATTAAAATTATGATGTAGTTCTAAATCGTTTAATTTCTCTTCCTCGCCACCTGTTAATATAGAAAAACAAGGACATATATCCAACTCACATATTCAAATAACCTAAGTTCAACTTAATTGAACTACAGTCACAATATGCGAGAGAGAAAAAGAAACCGGGTCCAACATCTACTCGACTTAAGAAAGGTCTTTTAGCATAGGGGTCTTTAGCAGTGGAAGTAAAACGAAGGACCAAGAGAAAACCCACAAGGTTGGACAGCCGACCCTTTATATACATCATAATATATGATAAGCTCAAGCTCTGTATTTTGCATCATATTTTTACCGATAATAAGTTTTTCAGCATATTTGTCCCTTAAAACAACTTTAGTTATATTATCCCAATACTCTAAGGCGAAAATTTATCAAATATGCACAATTCCTGACATTTAATTTACATGTGTATCCAGGTGGATTTTTCTATCAAATGTTGGACATGAAAGGAGGGAGCTAGTCTTAAAATAACCTGATGATTTCCCCTGTGTCATTGTCTAGTTCAGTACCTGGTTTGGCATCTCCATATGGACCATTTAGTACTTATTGTATATTATGTAGGCTTACCATTTTATTTGGAAAAAAATAAAAAGGCTATGGTATTAGGTATTGAAACCAAGCTAAACCGGATACTAAGTCAAACTATGACACCAAAACACACTAAGATTAAAGTTTCACTTACTGGAATTCCACAGATAGTAATCAGAAGGTATAAATTTAGTTGTCATAAAAGTATTAATTTCTTCTTCAGCAACGCTGTTAAAATCACCACAAAATATAAACGATACTGTTTTACCCTGAAATATTTTCAAATAAATATTAATAAACCTAAACTAAATCCAATCTAATCAAAATTAGACCGTATTGTCACACCCGTTATTATGTTGTTTACATTTGATGAGTTTAAATGCAAAATGCGGAATAAGTCATTCAGATCACCAAATCTCTGAGGAACCAGACTCCAGACATCTGCATTTACTCTGTTCAGTTAGATTTCCCATGGTACATCAACCAATATCAAGATTGGGAAACACTGTACTGTCTAAGGTCATTATAAGAATTTAGTGATGTTAGTTTCAATCCCTTACTGTAATAAGACCAAATTTAAATTTGTTATCAGCGTACTGAACAGCCTCCCATACATTAAATAGGCCAAGCATTTACTCAAAATCGCTAAGATAGTTATACTATGTTAAATATTTAAACTCTTCTGCATTTAAACTCTTCAATTACACTACAGTTCAACCAGAAGTGCAATCATAGTGCAACCAATACCAAAACCGAACAAAAATAGAGATCAAATTAAAATAGACTGAACTAAAATTAATTGTTTCAATGTTAACAGTGGTATCAGTGAACACAATATTCTACACAAACATAAGCAACAAAGTAATATCTTAAAAGCCGTAGATATATTAATATGATATTATTAAGAATTAGTTACTTTTCTTTTCTTGATGAGACAAATATCCTCTAAAGACCAAGAGTAATATAGATATATATGACCTAATAAACATCAGAAAAACCTCTCTAGTCGATCAGATTTTACAAATTCTAAATATTATGATTGGCATACCTCCGATGTATATTGAGACATAACAGACTCAATATGTCGCAAACATATTGCGATTTGTAACAATCGAATATGTGATGCTTTTGGGTGGAAAAACAAATGTGTATTGGCCACCATGAGTATTTTATCTTTTACATCCAGTGATTCAAATACAGTTAATTGTAACGCAGTACTTCGAGCTTCCATTTTCTCTTTCAGTGGTCCTAATGAACAAATTTTCTGCCACAAATCTGAATATCGTTCATCATTAGCAACAACTTCTGTTAGAATAATATCATGTTGTCCAAGTAACCTATTAATGTGGAAACAAAAGAAAAAGAAACAATATTAAATATGTTTTGAAAATTAAGGCTAATATAAAAATGAGCAATATTCTGGCAACTAATCAAAAAGAAAAATGATATTTTAAAATTTGGAAACTCAATATTTTTCACAGTAAATGGCATTATCACTCTCTCTATGCAATGAGCGAGTAGCGAACTCTTATTTTATTATAACAAGCAGTTGCCATGCAAAATACACCCACATTTTGGAAGAGATGTACAGAGTACAAGGAAAATCAATAGGACTCATCCTCTCATTGTTTTACATCGAATTATAATAAAAAAATTGTAGTCTCTAACATGTTCACAAGGTTTTCAGAAAAGGAAGGTAAATTCAGAATGGAATTACATATGGAACGCTGAAAATCGATAGGATTCATCCTCCCATGGCCAAATTTGAAATAAATATGTTAAAAACTGTAGTTTCTAACTGCATACAGAACGTTTTCAGCAAAGGGGAGTTACTATGGGATTGACAGATGCAGAATGCTGAATGTCATCGGGTTTACAAAAATTAATCTGTTAAACACTATGGCCTCTATCACATTCACAAAGTTTTCCTTTAAGTGGGCACCAAAATCTAACTCATCCAAGATCTTTTGATTCTTAACACATATTTTAAATTTCATCTAAAACAGACAAAAATAGTGGCCTCTAGAGGGTCCACAACGTATTAGATGTTTTACTACTATTTGCATGAAGGGGCGTGGCAATTTTGATTATGGTGTAAAGGTGATATATTTGAACAGTTTTTACAATCAAATAAAATTTTTGACCTTTTCGTACAATCAGGCGCAATAATCCAGGAAGTCACAGTGCCAAAATCAGACACAACCTACATCTTTGGGATATAAAGACATACTTTTAGTTTCATTAATTAAAAATAGAGATCTTTGGGATATAAAGTTTATGAACATACATTTTAAGTTTCATTAAAATCAAATAAAATTTGTGGCCTCTAAAAATGTGATTTTTACTGGGGCAATAATCCTCGAAACTATGGTTATATTCGTGCAAAAAACGAATACAACCCAGATCTTTCATTAAGTTTCGTTAAAACAATTATGACATGTAGAATGTCCACAAACAAAATGTGAACAGATGTCCAGATGGACATAGGCAATTCCAAAATGTGGGCATATAAAAATGATACTAGTCATGCCAGCTACATGTACATGTACACTATTTATAAATTAACTGACAATTATTTCGTCAATCATCAAAATTGTATAAAACGCCCAACATCCCACTATATTTTCTAACCTGACAAGCTGACTTAAATACAACAGTAATATAAATAAATATATTCCTTTGAGAATAACCCTTTTAAAGATCAATCAATCACTTTGCATGATGTCATACTTTCTCAGGCCAGTCCATACCAGTTAACAGTTGTCTTTGCCTGTTCAGTTCTCGTGATCTATGACAATACATGTAGTTATATGGTCAAATTGATAAATGAACCCATTTTTAGTATTTTATTAAAACAGTGTTGATCATTAATAAGATAAGGGTGTTAGTTGAGAGCTGATCTGCATGCACAATATTACATTTACCTTAATTTGGATCTTCTGTAAAATAAAGCTGATCCTTCTGGAACTTGACCTCCCTTGACCTTCAGTAAACCACTTAAACCAAGAAGATCTAAAGCTGGTTTAAAATCACTCTCAAAATATTTTCTATCACATTCTTGTAAACAAATTATATCACCATTATAACCTGAAAAAACATATGAAATGAAATGGGGTTTAACGTCCACCTGGCCTAATGAAGACGGGTTTACGCCATACAGTGTGCTCAAGGGAAAATTTGCCAGGACAGCAGCACTATGACCTACTCTTATATTGAATTCCAACTGTCAAGGGTTCTTTTATATGCACGCCAATATGTACACAGGACTTAAGTTTTCTTCCCATCCGGAAAATCTGGATGAACTTTCTCCGCCAATGCAGGGATCGAACACCCGACCTCCAGGCTAGCGATCAAGCGTCTTACCCATGTAGCCACTGTGATCCCCTGCTGAAATAAACTGTTGCTTGAAATTGATATGACTGAAGTAGTGAAGTCCTAGATGCCCATAACAAGAGATGTAATCAAATTATACATTCTGCATGGGTTCCTTTCTTTTTGAAAACCTTTAATTAAAGACAATCAGTAGTCACTGTATCAAGCTTCTATCATAATCTTAATGTATGAGCGATCGTGCACACTGCCACTTAAACCCTAGCAGATGGTCAATAATTAGTATTTGTTTCAAATATGTCAAAGTATTTGAAAATATTTTGTAGTCTACTAAAATCAAATCAACTGAAATTAAAAATTGTGGTAATCTTTCAAAATGAAAAATTAAATCACACATCAAAACAAAGTGATTTAGGTCCTACAATGCCACAAGCTGTGTGTGATTACTGGTCCTCTATTTACCTGTTATTTCTTTTAACAATAATTGTTTTCTGTAATCATAGTTTAATGCGTATGGTGGACAGTATGGAAATAATTCTGTTCTACTGTAATCTGAATCAGCATACACGTCAGCTAAAATATTATAACTTACAATTCTCAAACTGAAATAAATAAAAGCAATTTAAATTATACAATGGCTCACATCTACAACAGACAATTACACTGGCTGACAATGCTTTACTTTTTGTCAACTGGTCGTAATACTCACTACTGGTAGTTTGTGATATTGTAAAAAATTAAGGCTATCATTTTATTAATGAACACTGTAACTCTGTTTGTCAAACAATATTGCAAAATATTACTACCTGCTGACAGAATATAAAGGGTGCAATGAGAGATATTTTGCCCTGACAGCCTACTCTTATTTCAAATTCCACCTGTGGGTTCTTGTACGTTCATGCCAATGTGTACACGGGACCGGGTTTTTTTTGTACCGTACCTTCTGAACAACTAGATGCTATTCCTGTCAGGCCCTCTGTCCTACACCACTGACAAGGGGAAACCACCGCAGGATATCCCGAGGAACTTTCTCAGATCGGCTACCCGTTAAAAGTAAAGTGTTTATTTAAAGTGGGCGTAGAGAAAGGATTAACTGTAAAATACGTAATAAAATTAAAGATTTGAATTTTATTGAGACCTTTCTTTTTCTGCTTCTTTTTGTGTATACAGGTGTCTATTTTCAAAGGGACATAATCCTGGTCCAGCCTCAATCTCAAATTTGGATGTAACTGACATTTCCTTTCCGACTCTTTCTCCATTTATTGGTATTAGTTTCAAACTTAAACGGTGTCCTATATCTGCTGGAGTAGGCGAATAATATCTTTCCCTGGATATTTCAACTGGAACATTGTCAGCCTCTTTGGCAGAAGCAGAAGGCAATGGTTCTCGATACCAAACAAATTTACACTGATCAACATTTACAAATTCCAATTCTGCTTTTGGAAATATTGGAAATCCAGACATTATACTGGCTGGTAGAGATAATGATATAACTGTTGGTGAATTTATTTCCATTTGAAGTTTTGTGTCCCCGATAACAAGTTCACAGTCTTCAGTCCAGGCATCAATGTTTGGCGTTGTATCCAATAAAGTCTTGCCTTTCTTTAACATACTTATTGAGATATTCGAATCTGAATCTTCCACGGGTGTCGCTTCTTTGCTCTTTTTCTTCTTTTTATTTTTTCTTTTCTCCATAACTTTCACTATATTCAATTGCAGACGAGCAAAACATTTTCCGATTTCTTCTTCTTTTGGGCGGTTCATGTTGTAAGTTCGTTTATCATAAACTACGCTTATTTCCAAACGTTCCGACTCAGGGATGCATTTTACATATATGTGTGACATTCTGGCCAGCAGAGGGAATCGTCTTTGACAACCTCTAACCAGAAAGCTATTTAAAACGGTCAGGATTGCATGAGACATGTGAAACAGCGGATGTTGACAAATAACAGGGTTGTTAAGTGTTTTCAAAAGTAAGAGTAGTTTAGAGCTGGGTAACTCTATATTATATCTCGGGAGTTACTTGGATGCAGACCACCATTAATTTCCCCATTCACTTCAATGTTAACTCTGTCTCTTTGCCCGGCTTCAACTTTTCCCAAAAATTTTCGTTGAGCTGAATGTTTTTCACTATAGACAGAGAAATAGATGGTCATGTCTTTACACCAAAATTTGTCTGAGGTTGACCACCAAAATTTTGAGATACTAAAAACATACTCTTCGCCGGACATATTACCGTAACCAACCTGGTAACTCTGTTTGTTATCCTTCAGCCTCAAAATCATGAATATTTACCGAAACCATCTTCGTCCATTCTAGACCCAAAAATCAACAAAAATGGGCACACAAACGAGAGAGAGAGAGAGAGAGAGAGAGAGATAGAGAGGGGGGGGGGCTAAAGATAGTGAAATTTAATGGTGGTCTGCCTCCACTTGGTTGGAATCAGACTTTTAATGTCATCAGGAAACATTTTAGTTTTAACTGCTTTGAATGAATATTAATTTCAATTTGTAATTCTTACTAAAGTTAATGCAAAAGAAAGTGTCTATTCTGATATATATAAATATTTTTAGAAAATTAATATGTATAAATTAATTAACACGGTGCTTATACAGGTGGAAAATGGATCATGGAACATCTGTTTCAACTTCATTTATTTCACAGGTATCATTGAAGTTGCAAGCGGGATTTATATTTCAAAATTCCGGCGTGATTTCCCCTTGTCAGTGATGCAGAACGGAGGGCCTGACAAGGACAGCTGCCTAGTCGTTCGGATGGGACGAAAAACCGAGGTCCCGTGTACACATTGGCGTGCACGTAAAAGATCCCTTGGCAGTTGGAATTCGATATAAGAGTAGGCCGTAGCGCCGCTGTCCGGGCAAAATTTCCCTCATAGCACACTGTATGGCGTATGCCCGTCTTCAATTAGCCCAGATTAGGTGCAGAAGAGTAGGACGTTAAACCACATTTCATTTCATTTCATTTATATTTCAAAACTATTGAACGGTAATACTGAAAAGTTTCGAGCACATAATATAAAGTTTCATGAACTTTCCAATGTAAATTTTTCACCCGAAACAGGGTCAACTGTCTGATAAATTTTAAGCTGTGTAAACTGTCATATAAATCTGAACTAGTGTAGTATACTAAAACATATAAAAGCTAAATGTCAAAATAGATGATATTGCGTGTGAAAATATATGCTAAATTCGCCGCACAATTAGATTTCATTTACCTCGTTAGCCGTACAGTTCCCGTATTTAAAATAATATATGTGAAGATATATTAAATGCATAAACCATCCCGTGTAATTTTAACATCATAATATCTGAAACAATTAGGCTATTATTGTGAAAGATGTAAATAATGTTCATATCGCGGTACCAGTATCAATATAAAGAGGAATAAATTCATTTGAAAATTGAAATTATAGCCTATTACTTGTTCTTTATTTGTTAGTGGACGCACGTATTACGGGGGCATTCGTTTTGAATAATATACGCTAAAAAAAAATGCCACTTCAACATTTTCATTGCCAGACGGGGTTCCCGTTAAATTGCAGTTATGTCCCTTTAATTGCATATATATATGTTGAAAACACAGATCCAACAACGAAGACTCCCTTTAAATTGCAAAAATTAAATTTAGGTTTTCAAGTTTTACACTGTGCCGGGAATATAACAAATTTAACATGGTATACATAGAATGAACGTTATTGGAAAGTCGAAGAAATACTGTCGACAAAGATCAACCAGTAAAATACTGGTTAGTCATATTTTTTTCTATTTTTTTTTTTTTTTTTTTTTACCAGATACGCCTAATAACTGACTCTATCATCAAAATTTCTGCTGCGGGAGTTATTTAACCACCCAAATTCTTTTATGGGAACTGCGCCCCAAGCTCCCTATTTAATATCCATTTAAGTAAATTTTGTACCCCATCCGCCACCTTAGAAACCAACCACCCCTGTCACGATACAATATCGTCCCTGCAAATTGATTAATTGATGTATACCCCACCCCCACCCCCCCGCCCAAAAAAAACCCCAACAGATTTTAAAAATTCGCTGAAATCACTACCCCTCCGACGCCGACAGGATATGTTTTTGGCAACGAATACATTATGCCTTGTAGTCTGAAAATAGTTTTCAATCGGTGGTTATATATTTAGAACTTCGAGCATTTGCAACATTTTTGCTTGAACTCGGTCAATGCTATAGTTGTATAATAATGTTTTTAAGGATAGGTTTAAAAATAAATATCAACATTTCCTGCAATATTTTTCATTGTCTGGTTATTTCTTTCTGAAGGAAATGTTTGAATAATTGACATGACCTGTTGTGTGAGCTGACAGAAAATTAATGAAATATAAAACAATCAAAAGCAAGGCGAAAAATAGGTTACAAAAACATAGACTATTAATACAAATTATGTATATCACTTCTGCAGGTTTTTATGTGGGAAAAACCTTTTGGACATTTTTTTTTTCAGATAAAGATCTATTTATATAATTTACTAATGACAAATAGTGGAAAAGCTGTCTAATTTTCCCGGGGAATAAAAAATGTCGGACTGTTAGACACGTCCACATTCGTATCGGATGTTAAACTACTGAAATGCTTGGTGCGCGTAGGCAAAATCTGCGTTTTCAATAGAAAGTTTAAACAATACACGTGGCCGATTATTACTAAAACGGGGGAGGGTGAGGGGGGTCACTGTATCATAAGGTCTGTCATTGAGTTAACTGGCGTGATTTCGATTCTCCGGTTGTACGTAACATCAAGGAGTATGGTCGCCTGTCCAACATCGTGCGTTTTCCCCGGGCAGAGGGCGGGTTGGGCCATCGGGCGATCGGGCCCGAAGGGCCGATCTGACAAAAAATGAAAAAAATAATTTTATCCAATTCGTCTAAAAAAAACTTTTTCTGCTGAACATTATATATGGGATGGGGGGGGGGTATTGGACCGGCCATGGAGCGATGATGATCATGTTGTATGTGGCCGGTGGCTTTAACGGGCCGCCACGCCATCACTGGAGCCTGGAATGGGCTGGTATAATAGACTTTCTGTGCTGGGTGTGGGCCGGAATTCTGAATCCTACAATGGGGATTCCGAATTTCATCCGAAAATTTCATCGGATTCACCCGACACTGTTGTGATGTCGTGGTAGCTATATTTTGCGTCCAAGATCAAATTCTATTTTTATTTTTATTTCCGCCCGCGGCTCCTGACAAAAATGTCGAGGGTAAAGCAATTCTCATAATTAAATTTGTGTGGACTTATACTCAAATATTCATTATCTGAACTAATGCTATGTTCATTAATCAATATATAGTGTGTCAAATGTTCAAGTTCGGAGTCAAGGTAAAATAATTTACCTGGAACAACAAATCCAAAATTTCAAAAGCAGCTTTCATGAATTTCACTTTCGTCACTCTGTACCAATGTGTCTCGTGGCCTTCCATCACAGGAGGAATCAACTAGCGCTCCCGGCAACAAAAATGGGACATTTTTCAATGAAAATATTCCTACTTATTCAATATTCCTAACTGGTTAATCAAATGGTCAAAATTTTCTCAACTAGTCCCATTTTTTAATCAGTTAAATTCTCTTGACTCTTGACGATACAATGATAATACGGTTATTAATAATATGACGATATAATAATTTCACAGGTTGATGGTTGTAAATTACTTGCAGGTCGGGGTTTTGGCCTAAATTAATCGATTTATGAGATGTATTATTTGACAGAGATTATAATCAGATATGCCACCAAATCGCATATTTGGGGTTCATTGTGCAATATTTTCCAAGGGGGAATGCCGTTGCGCCCCCCCCCCCCGTCCGGGCTCCGCTGTCAGTAAAAGGGGCCGCTCCGACACAGGAGCCCGGGCCGGTTACCGGTCCCAATCCGCCCCTGTCCCCGGGTCCTTCGGTTTCCTCCCACTGCTAAAGAACCCTACGAGCAAGATAATTGTTGAAATGAAATTGAACCATATATTGGTCCCGAAATGACCTAATTTGTGTCGAATGGACGTTAAATCACTCCCCCTCTCTCTCTCTCTCTCTCTCTCCCTCTCTCTCTTACCAAAACATGGCTTAAATTATTTATGCAGGAAAGTATTTTGGGTATGTTTAATGCTCACATTCGTGTTTTGTGGCAAAGGTGACATAACCGGGCGAGTTGTCTGTAACAGATTTCAAAAGATTGACCTATAATCTCTATAATAAGTAAAGAAAGACAATGGTGGTGATTAGGTAGGTTGTAAATCTGTCTATTTGTCGTGCAGATTTTACGTCAAAGTTAATGTAACCATGTAAGTAAATCAGGCGAAATCAAAAGTTGTTTTTTTAAACAAACAAGCCAACATCCCCAGAGCCCAATTCCCCTTTAACGTCATTATTATTATAACATCATTCAAATATTATATTTTAAGGCTCATCATAGTCCATCTAACATAAAGATAAAAGATAAAAGGATACAAATTAACGGTTTAAATAATGTTTAAAATTTGGTATGAATAAAAAAGATGTCATGGTTTTATCGCACAATTTGACTGATTTGATGTCAGTTTATAGTTCTTGGTCGTATGTCAAATTGCGAAAATTTTGTGTACAAGTTTGAAAGTAAAAGCTATGCGTAACCTAATCTAAATAATATATTCTTTTGGGGATAAGGGGGCTTTAACAGCGAATTTTAAACCAATGGACGCCAGTAAAATAAAAGAAATTCGATTCTATTAAAAAATCAAAATTTGTTCAGAATTTACACACAATGACTACATTAACTTAAAATATACAACACATTTTGAAAGTACCAATTTTGAATGTCTAGACAAATCGGCCCCGTTTGTCGCGACGCAGGAGCGCCATCACGTAGTGATCTCTAAAACTATTATGGCCACTTCCGCCTTCATTTCTATCGGGTTTGGAGCTCAAAGTACGGCAATAAACTCGCTCTAACTTGACTGAATGAAAAATCTAACATACCTTTCGACTTTGTGGAATAACAATCTATAATTCTACTGATCTTTTTTTTGAAAATCTTATCGGATTCCTGAGAACAGATGTATGCCTTTAGCGCAATAGAAAGTTTAATTAGTATTGTGGTGCGAACATAAATTTAGATATATTATTATTATTATATAGACCTAAGATTCTAGTTATGCTGGGGGTTGCGGTGGTTCAGTGGGTAAAACGTTGGCTCGCTAACCAGGGATTACCGTGTTCGATCTCGGTGTTGGCCTAGAAAGTTCATCATGATTTTCCGGTGTGGTCGCCTCTTGTCAGTCGTTTAAGATGGAAGGCCTGACAATTATCAAGGGGCAACGTATAGTCGTTCGGATGGGACGAAAACCTGAGGTTCCGTGTACACATTGGTGAGCCCATAAAAGAACCCTTGACAATTAGAATTCGAAATAAGAGTAGACCGTAGTGCCGCTGACCGGGCAAACATTCCCCCATAGCACACTGTATGGCGTATGCACGTCTTAATTAGTCCAGTCTGTGAAGACACAACATTAGGACGTTAAATCTCATTTCATTTCATTTCTAGTTGTGATACGTTTACACTGTCCATTTTTTTGTCAGGACTGATAAGATTGTTGCCCAATTTGCTGCCTAAATATTGGTAGTCTGCTATAACACCGAAGTTGGGAGTCGTCTATAACTGTCCACAATGTAAACAGATACACTTCATCAACCTCTTCACAGATCATGTTGTCAAATTGTGTCCGATTTCCATCATTTTGACACTGTGGACACAGCATAAGTCAACGCGTTCCATTGAGGTGATAGCGAAAATGTATTAATAGAGCTTTTATTTCTGGTAACTTGTTTAATTCCAGATAAGAGTTTATGTGGTAATGATTCTTGGAAAATATCACGGGTTTTGCGGTAGTTTTCTTTCTATTTTACGTTTTAATTTGTAGGCCATGTTGAAAGATAGACGCGATTGTGCCGTGAATGAAAACAATTTTATTCGATCGAGGAGCTCTTAATGGAGCAAGTTTTATGATAAAATATCAGAAAATACCAGATTTACGTAAGTGCGATAAACTTGTTATATATCCCGCCCCCATCCATACTAAATCATTGAAAGTAATTTTAAAATCTGGCTTTGCGATGATATCCATGTAAACTCAGCATCATCTGTGAAAATTAATCGTGTTTCGTTGTTTAGTAAACTAGTTCACTGGGAAATTCTGTCTTTAAAGCTGTAAATACGATTAGAAAAGCGATAGGGGGTTTACAGGCTGTTTTAAACCGATATAGACTTCTCCAGTGCTATTTATAGAATTACTGTCTGACGTCACACAGCGACGATCGCTTTGCCAGCAGAAGTGAATCGGGCCTCTTCGAGGGAGCACGGACGTAACTTATCTCAAGGTTCTTGCTTATAAACCACGAATGTGACCGTAATACTGAATATTATTATTGGAGAGGAATTTAATACTTTTACGTGTTGTCATATCTAGCCAAAATGTGGCTTGGATTATGCCGATATTTGCTCCTACTTGCCGTATTTGGCAGTAAAGTGACAGTGACCGTATCTTCTCCGAAAGGTAAGTGACATTCACTCATTCAGTAAAACGGGCCATCTCGAAATATGTGTCCCCCATGATAACAGATCGCTTTTAACACAAGTTCAAGTGCATATTCAGTCGTCCTTGCACGTACATAAACGTTGAAGTGCTCCTTATTAGAAGGCATGCAGTATTTAACGGAATAATATCCGTGCATATTATACATTTTAAACTCATGTTTGGGTGCACCCCGTCAACGTGTATTTCCAGGTGCTCGTTTTGATACACTCAAGTACGTAGTTAATCTATTCATAGCCATGCACCCTTTCATATTTACCTTAAAGTTAAACAGGACATTTACTAACTGCAGTTTTAGAGATAAAAGAAGATTTTGTCACCCGTCGCGTATCGTTTCAAAGATAAATAGTTCATATTTTAATAAATGAATAGCGAAACTCGGTAGGGCCAACATTTTTTAGAAACAAAACTAAACTATCACACACAATGAAACACCAGTACATTTGATAAATCAGACCTATATTATTATATATTATGAAACATATTTATTTGGCGTCTTGTATAAGCTGAATAAACAATTGTACATATTATTCAGCTCTGTCGTGCATTACAATACAGTTACAATACTTTAATGTGTTTGTGAAATCGATAACCTTCTGTGAATGACAACATTTCAATACACAACCTATTTTACAAACTATGAATCTTCGTTTTAAAGTATTAGACATCTAAGTTTTGAATAGAAAATTTGTAACTACTTTTAGTTTCAGGTGCAACTTTTACAATAAATCTAGATTATTCAAAATTCTTTGAAATCTGATATTTGTACTGTTGGATTAACCCTGTATTATAAAGCATGAGTTATATGTGTATTCCCTGTAATTTATTGGGCAATAGTGTAATAATTTACCCAGGAGCCATATTCCAAGGCATGATTTAATATACTGTGTTCTATTGGGTTTGACTTATCACACAATTGAATACATGCAGGTATTTATCTTACCAGTTTAAATGAAAGTACATTATTAACCTTCTAAGGGTGGAAGGGGGGGGGGGGTATTGGGTCTAACACAGTTGCTTTAGAATTTAGAACACCATAAAGTCAGTCATTGCTGCAAGTGTTGTGTGTTTAGTCCCAGTTCTAGGTATGACAAGGAGTAGGATCACCTGGCTAACCTTGTGGGTTTTCTCGGGTTGTCTCACAGTGTTATAGACCAATGCACACATGCAGGTCCTCAAATGACCTAGTTTATGATCTGCCGTAATATGATAATGGGAGTCAAACCCCAACTTTCCCTCTCTCTTTCCTACATGCAGATCTTTGTTTTTTCCCCAAATTCCTGTAAAAGTATATCCAGCCACACAATGAATGAGATTATGTCTCAAACTATTTATTATTATTATAATAGATTATTGTAATGTAACCCAACAAAACATTTATTATCCTTGATTGTATTACAATGGTAAAATGGTAATATCAACCCATGGAGGTTTGATTCATTTAGTATATTAATCCATATATAAAGCAAAGATTATAAACTATTATATTTAATAATCCTGTGACAAATATGTCAATTAGATGATTATTGTGTTGCTAATATAGACCAAGTGTTTGAATTAGATATCTCTGATCATCAATCTATATTCATAAGATCGGGATATTTCCATTCCTCGGTTTGATAGATGTATCTGCATAATACTAAGAACAGGTCGATTAAGTTTGAGATACTTAATTTTCTGCCCAGTAGCTTGAACTTCTGAAATCGTTGTACAAACTATCACTAACTACATTTATCTGTAAGTAGTGGGGAGCCGTGGTGGCTCAGTGAGTAAGACAAAGGCAGACTCGCTAACCAGGTCTTTGGTTCAATCCGTAACATTCCGACATGATTCACCCTTGTCAGTGGTGCCGGACAAAGGACCTGGCAAAGGACGACATGTACTTGGGCAAAAACAATGAGCCCCATGTACACATTGGCATGCAGGTAAAAGAACCCTTGACAGTTGGAATTCAATATAATGCTGCGCTGTAACGCTTCTGTGCAAGCAAACGTTCCTTCATAACACACTGTAGGGCATATAATATGCGCATCTGTATTGGCCCAGTCTAGGCAGTGCAGATGTTAAACCCCATTACATTTCCAAACTATTAATATTACATTGATCTGTATGTAGTTATTGATGCTTTTTACCCCCAAGAAACACACATTATTGCTGCTCACATGAGTTCATAAGTTGTTAGATCTCCATATTTGCTCCAATCATAAGAATTTATGCATGAATATCTTTCTTTTTTTTCTTTTCTTTCAAAACCAGTAAATATTAACCTCAACAGACAATTTTAGAATGTGCATAATTTGAAAGACCAATATTCATCTGTCTGTTGTGGTATATAAGGGATTGCCCAGTAAATATACAGTGAATATACATACAACCCAGCTACATGTATTATATACACTATAATGTCCATAGAAGTGTATTAGAAATTTAAATCACATTTAATAACCCATGCTTATAATGATGAACAAATCGTTCAAAATGTTAAGTTACATAAGGATCAATATCCATCAGGCAGTGTGGAGTATATAATATTTAATACTGATATTTCAAAGTGTGTATTATTTTAAAGGTTATCATAATCCTACTACATGACTTATCAGACCACAGATCAATTCAATCATCTTTATCCTTTACAAAAATATTGGACAATTTTAAACATTATATGTATGGAAAATCATAACCTAGAAAGCTACCAGAGAATACAGGAGAACTGCACAACAAAACACAGATATAGAAAATGAAATGGGGTTTAACGTCCTACTGTTCTGCTCCTATACTGGGCTAATGAAGACGGGCATACGCCATCACAGATATAGAACAATATTGGAAAACATTAGTGTATAAGACATAGACACAATTTCAAACAGAAAATAAAAATACATTTAACGATATCAATTTATATTGTTGCCAGTGTATTTGTGTTTGGTGTGTCTGGTGTCATATTATAGATATTTCAGGAATTTGCTGAGATTAAGAAATTTTAAAGATTGTAAAGGTCTTTATTATGGTTAGAAATATTTTTCGTGCCATAGGTGTCCTGTTATCTATTATTATATAGCTTGCTTACTCCAGTTTGTGACTATTTTCAACATACTTTATTAATACATTATGTAGCAATATTATACATAAAGTTAAATTCACTGAACTTTTACTAGTTTTAACCCCTACTCTAGGAAATCAGAACAGTATGCTCTTACTATATATTACTATGGATGTCAAGGGGTTAAAATATTATTTTGTAACTATTGCACACATTTTGAAATCATTAAAATAGTAATGGTTATACAATGAATTTCACATTTCGGACATTTGGTAACAGTTTAGGTTTTGAATTCCTGTGCTACCATTATTTTATTGTATTTTATGTAACAGAAAAAAGTCTGTAAGTGACAAAATAAGGTTTAATTGTTGTATTGCACTTTAGAGGTCTTCACTGGTTGTTAAAAAAAAAAGGTTCAATTGAGGAATTGCACTCAGAGGTTTTTGCCGGTTGGTAAAAGTGTTTGAGGTACCGGTATTGCAGTTAAACATTAAGGGGAATTAGCATTTTTCACTAAATGTAAAAGAAAAAAAATAGTTTCAATTTGTTGAAGTGTTTTGACTATGTTGATACATTGAGGATGTTCAGATTAGTGTATGCAAAATTTGCGACAAACCCTCCACAGCCATCATATGAGTGGTCTAGTGGTCTAACACATACTCTCTGTCTCTCTCTCTCTCTCTCTCTCTCTCTCTGAGATAAAGACATTTTAACATTTAATTTACACACCATACAAAATGTTTACTGGTTTTTAAGGAGTTTAACGAACACTCCTTGAATACATTTATATTTTTCCTAAGTATCATGCACATCTTCCACTGCAGTAAAACAGAAGAATTTTAGTTTATGGTTTGGCTTACCATTTGAAAAGATTGACTATGAATCTGAGGCGAATGACAAGCAAACTTTAGATGATAAATAAGTCCTCTAATTAATTTCTTGATGGGGAAGACAGTCACTAGCCATAATTAATAATCTACATCCTGGTAGAAAAGCTGGTACCCTCATTGTACATCCGTTATCTTTGGAATGAACAATTGACTTTATGCAGATAAGTGGAGGTGCAAGGGTTGACCACCTCATTAACAGACATTATTTATACAATTTGTTTTGTACATGTATTTGCTAACTAAGCAAAAAAAAAATACTTTCCCCATATGTTTATTATCGTTGGATCATTTTCAAAATGAAGGAGCTATTTTTATGAGTTATACAATATATACTGGTAATGTTATTCAAAAAATAGTGTAACTTTAGTAGTAATAGACTCATTAAACTTTGCGAGTAATGTATGCATGTAGCCTAATAGACTGTCATGAACAATTCATAGGATGTAATTCTTTTAATTTGTTCAAACGGGCGTTTGAAAAAGATATTAAAGATATACCGACATGTAGACAAGTTTGTCAGTCAATTAGCATAATAATGATATTAATAATATTGTACAGGTGGCAAGAAATACATAATCATGATGGTATATTAATGTATGATGCTACAACATGGGATTTCTAGTGTATGTTTCTATAGATGAATGAATTAAGTCATGCATAAGGTTAAGTGCATTAAGTGTGTTTCATAAACTGAGACCTCCATGTATATTCTATTATATGCCTTCATCTTTTTAGGGTGCACTTTAATATCAGCATTATTAGTGAGGTTGTGCCCATACCCATTTGTACAAAATAACATTTAAAAAAACATAAAAGATACCATATATAGATTGGGCAAAGATATGTTCTTAATTTTGTTATTATGAAATAGACATTCTTAATTTTATTTTCATCAAATAGATGATCTGAATTTTGTTTCCATCTAATAGACATTCTTAATATTGTTTTTTTTTTCATCAAATAGACATTCTTAATATTGTTTTCATCAAGTAGAAAGAATAAGCCATCAGCTGATATATGACGGTACAAAA